AAGTCAGGTGAAGGGAGATAGAAATGAATGAGAAATGTGTGGAAAAGAGAGAAACTGAGAGTGGGAAAGGTTGTTTTATCTTGCTGCAACTCCCTAACTACTGCTATGCAAGATCTGGCTGAGCTGGGTGCAAGGAAAAGGAAAGAGAAAGACTGGATTATTGGAGAAAATTACCTGCAGGCTGGCAATTACAGTACCAGCTATCAGAATTATCTGTTAAGGAAATTTGCTTGAGTCTTGGAGAAAAGGGATGCTTGGTTTTTTGCTATGCTCAGACTTCCCTGCACTCCTAGTGGCTGCAGCTAGAACTGCATTTTAAAAATAAAAGGGAAGATGTTCGGCTGTAGGCAGAAGGACGACACTGACTTCAAGGGCTCCCTTCAAAAGCCTCCCTTAAGTTCCATCCAGGGTAGACTGCCCCTCTGTCCTATCTGTCTGTCTGTCTAATTTATATCCCGCCTTTCCCACACACAGGTTCAGGGCAGGTAACATTAAATTTCATGTATTCTCACACCCATGAGAGGAATGGAGATGTCCTCTAATGCCTGCCATTGTTCTGCCACTGGCAACAGGCCTGGTCAGTCTGGACTAGAATCAGAGGTCATTTCGGGGGGGAACGCGGGGGAACGCAGTTCCCCCAGGTGAGGTATGGGGGACGGGGCACTTGACGAAGCCCCGCCCCCTGCTTCCGGCCGCCCTGCTTCTGGCCCTCATTCAGCCAGGAGGAGGCAGGAGAAGAGGGAGGGTAAGTTGCTTCCTCTCTGCCTCTCCCCACCCCTGCCTGCCTGGGGCCAGGGAGGGCCTTCGCGGGGCTTCCTTGCACTCCCGCCGGACTTGCAGGTCCACCGCCGGGCCCCTCATGGGGCTCGGCAGTGGAGCTGCAAGGCCGGCAGCGGCAGCCAGGACCGTTGGGGGCGGGGTGTGTGGCCTTATGACACACTTCCGGTGATGTCAGGGTGTGTGGCCTTATGACGCACTTCCGGTGATGTCAGGGGGTGTGGCATATGATAATTAATTATGCTAATGAGTTCCCCTAGCTCTTTTTCTACGAAATGACCCCTGACTAGAATATCCATCTCACACACTCAGGAGCAGTCCTGTACCACACAGCCAACTGGGTACACTGCTATAGACACAGCATATGGCATTAGAAATCCCACAGCAGCCCTGACATGGAAAACAGCCACATACACTAGGGCAGGGAAGACTGCAGAGCAAGTCATAGTGCAATGGAAAGGCACAGGTATAGAATACCTAGTTTTCCCAGATGAAGCCCTTTACACAGCACTGGAAGGAGTCCCACACATAACTTGGGTGTCTCATGCTGATTGGCTGCTCCACACATAGATCATTTTGGTTGGCAGTCCCCATACACCATCTCATTTCTGCAGTCAAAGGGCTTGTTATTGCTGCCTACTCCTATTCATCCCAGCAGTTCTTACACCCCATTCTTGTCTGCTGGGCCACAAGGCTCAGAAGACACGGGCATTGCACAAAGCTCAAAGTGTACCACCCCTTGCTAGACCATATCTGAACAGGCATTAGAGGACATCTCCATCCCCCTCCCTGTGTGAGTCTCATGGTAGTGAGAATTAATCCCTATCCACCAAATTCCAATCAAACAGAGACCACACCTGGGAAACAGACCCCGCATTTATTGAAGGGCATCAGGTACAGAAGTCTGAAAGCAAAGCAGATCAAAGTGGCTGCCCAGTTTTTTGTTCCAGCCAGATTGCTGTGCCTTTGCAAGCAGCACAGACAGATCACAGGTAGAACTGGTAAAACAAAGCAGTTTGCACTGGTGCAGGAGCCGGGCTAGGAGAGTTGTCAACCCCACAGCAGAGAAGCATGTTGGTCACTGTAGCTGTTGGTTGTGCTGTAGGCTCAGCAGATGATTGGCACTGCATTGTGAAGGGAGCACCTTCAAGAGCAACTGGGCTCCAAAGGCACGCACATGGTGCTCTTGCAGTTCTCTCAGCTCCCCCTCACCCTTGGTGGGATACTTCTCTTGGGCACAGTGTACCTACTGAGCCAGTACATATTCATTGTATGCATGTTGCACGGGTACTTTGGGCCAAACTAGATGTGACAGCATCCTCACGTCCAACGTGGGGCTGCCGCCACCATTAAAAAACTTAAAATGGGGTGATTGAAAAATGTCGTGAGAACCCAATCCTGATTGGTCCCACAATGCAGTAGAACAAGGCTTTTTTGTCCCCCACCCTTGCCCCAGCATGTCCAAGTATCTAAATGGCCCATGGTGTTTCAGCACTTGAAAAGGCGTATGTAGGGGAGGGGAAAGCATCTTATCCTACCCTGCTGCAGGCCCAAACTGGATTGGGCCCTTGTAGCATTTTTAATTGCTCATTTTAGGCTTTAAAATGGCAGTAAGCATTCACCTGTCAGACACAAGGACACTATGTAGTTTGGCCTTGAGTTCTGCTAAGTGCTGTTGCATGCCACTCTGCTTCTGGAAGACAGCAGGTAATGGAAGTGTTTGGACAGCAGTTGCAAAGGTTAAAATGGAGTGGCTGATAGTTACTAAGACTGTATCCCCCCACTTCCAACACAATATCCTGCTGACCAGGCCAGTGCATCTGCAAGAAGAACCCCCGACCTACTTTGCAGCAGACAAAGCTTGAGGCAAAAGTCATATTTCCTTGCTTACCTGTGTGGGGTACATTGTCCTTTTATTCCCACTTGGAGATGTGGAGGTTCCTGGTTGGTTTTTGTGTTCTGAGATGGAATACCTATAAAGGTTTTGAACAGAAATATGCTACAACAGTGTTTGTTCTCTTACTTGGCTTATGGAAAGTGACCTTTAGAGTTTCCATCACCCAAGTCTCCCCCCCCCCCGGCGCATGTGTGTCCTAACTGATTGTACAATCTGCTTCTAGCCTGAGGGTGGCTATGAGGCTTGTTTAGGCCAGGGCCTGACAAATTTTCTTTGGCTTTTCAAGCCCCGCCCCTCACATTTAGGAGGCAGACTTATTTGTCAGCTTTCAGGTTTTATATTTTAATGATCCACAAAACCTAACCCTAAACTCTTCACAGTTTCTTGTCATTTTTCAAGCAATGAGAAAAGGCTTGTTGGTGTTAGGGTTGTCAACCTCCAGGTGGTGGCTGGAGATCTCCTGCTATTACAACTGATTTCCAGGTGACAGAGATCAGTTCACCCGGAGAAAATGGCCACTTAGGAAGGTGTACTCTATGGCTTTATACCCCACTGAAGTCCCTCCCTTCCCTAAATCCCGCCCTTCTCAGGCTTCACCCCCCAAATCTCCAGATATTTCCCAACCCAGAACTGGCCATTCCAGTTGTTGTGTATGAATAGATAAGGGGCAGGGCTTTTTTTGTAGAAAAAGCCCAGCAGGAACTCATTAGCATAATAGGCCACACCCAATAGCAGAAACTCATTAGCATATTAAGCCACACCTTGACAACACAGCTCATTAGCATATTAGGCCACACCCCATGCCTTCCCTTGGCTTGCCCGGGTGCCCCACGGCTGCGGGGAGCCCGGGCAAGACGTCCCCTTGAAGGAAAGGGAAGGGCAAGCCGACCCTTGGACAGGCTGGGGAATGCACAGGGAGGCATTTAAACGCCTCCCCGATCCTTCCAGCCACCCCAGCCACCCCGCCTCGAAGTCGTCAGAGGGGTTGCTCTCCAGGCCTTCCCTCTGTAGCAACGCACACAGCAGTTTTGGCTGTAGTGGGCGTGGCCAACTCTGAAGCCAGCCGGAACTCCGTTCCTGTGCGTTCCTGCCCCAAAATAAGGGGCAATGCTGATTGTCATCACAACAAAAATCTAACCTCTGTCCCTGACCTAAATAATCTTTGTGGTTCTACTGAGAATCACCAAGATACACTTACAACAAATGATGGCTGAAAGTATTAGGTGCCACAATGATGCTTCTAAGTGTTGTGTTGTCCTGGTGCCTGGGATTTGTCAAGCCCTGGTTTATGCTGCCAAATGTTGTTGTATTGGCTGGTTTTTTAAGGTTAATAGTTTTAATTATTTTATGTGTTATGCTTTTATCTTTATAAATAGTAAATGTATCCATATTATAAGTGTGTCTGACATGGGACCAGAGCAATGTTCCCTCTAAGCTGAGTTAGTGTGAGCTAGCTCACACTAACTCAGCTTAGAGGGAACACTGGACCAGAGAGATATAGCCACATGCTGTTAATCTTGTCCCCAGATATAGGTGTGTTCTTAACTATGATTTATGTAGCCCATGGCAGAGTTCTGGCTGGCTGCAAGCTTAGTTGGTATCCTAAGCTGTATCATGGCTGGAGGCTGAAACTGGAAGCAATTTTATTTTTACTCTCCGTGGTTTCTTTGGGGATTTTCCCAGTTTTGCTATAGGGTTGTTGCTGACATTGGTTTGTGCTGAGAGTCGGGCAAAGTTTAAGATACTCCAGAAGCTCCGCTGCTGCCGCCGCCGCCCCAACGTGTTGCTGATCCCACTAGAGTTGCTAGCTCTGGGATGGGAAATACCTGGAGATTTTGGGGGTGGAGCCTGAAGGCAGGATTTGTATGTGCTTGTTTTATAACCACCCATGTGACCAAGTCTATCAAAATAGAGAGAGTGCCTGTGCTGAATCAGAGCCAGATCTTTTTTACCTTTACCGTTTAGCCTTTTAAAATAATAAAGTATAAGAAGTGTAAGGGAAAGCCAAACATTGCCTTTACGTGAAACTATATGAAAACATAGGGTGTATTTTGCAATACTTTAAATAAAGGTTTGATAGTTTATTTATTTTATTCAAATATTTATATCCTTCCTTTCCTTGTGGCATAAGTGATATATACCTGCCTAGTACCAACACTTTAGCTATTGTTTCTATTTCACAACTGTAAGTGAGCTCATCGAGTTTAAAACTTGTCGCTCATTCCTTACAGTTCACTTTGTTGCATTCCAAACTGAATACGAGTAAGTTTCATAATGAAAACAGATTTAATTATAAGTTACTTACTCTCCTTTTTTGGGTTTTCAGCTACTTGGACATAGGAGAACTGAAGAAAAGGCCTATAGAAACAAATAATGAGGTAACACAATTTAACTTGAAAAATCTAACCAGAATCAGTCTGCACTATAGAACAGTTACTTTTGTTTTATGATGTATGGGAAGATAACCAGTGAATATTTATTCTAGAGTAATTTGCCTCAAAGCAATCTCAAGAATGTGTCTCCAGCAGTTATCTATTGGGCTTCCCAATTTGCTAAAGTAACATTAGGATTTATCTTTGCAGAGAATTAAAATATTTATTTATTGGCACACATGTATGTATTTTAATATCTTACCCTGGAAATCGCAGAGTGACTTATAGGGAGTTCCCAGAAGTCTCCTATTTAGGATGATCTGGTCCTTACTTTGCTTACTTTCCACAATGCTAGAACATTAGGTGCTCTTAAACCAAATCCATGTATTTGTATGAGTAAGAATTGTGTATCAGAAAAATACAGAAAATATGTTATCTGTAGATGAATATGTTTTCTGTGCTTTACTACAGCAACCCCCCACCTCCATTTCTGGAGCCAGAGAACATGAAACTTATATATAGCTAAAATCAGGAGTATATAGCAGTCCTGTAGCTAGCCAATTTGGCTCCCAGGGTGGATGGCTTTTTAGCTCCTCCACCTCCTCCTCCTCCTCCTCCCCCTCCTCCTCCTCCTCCTCCTTCTTCTTCTTCCTGTCAAGTCATGGCTGATTTATGGCAACCCTGTAGAGTTTGCAAGGCAAGAGATGTTGGGAGGTGTTTGCACAATGCTAGAACATTAGGCCTGGCTCCACATCGGCCCTGCTTAGTTTCTGAGATCTGATGAGATCAAGCGAGGCTGGGGCAATCCAGATCAGGGCCCCACCTCTATACTACAAAATTATCTACAGTAACAATCATGAAATAAAACAAATCATAATAATGGCCAGAAAATGGATTCAGGTGGGTAGCTGTGTTGTTCTGAAGCAGCAGAACAAAATTTGGTCTTAAAGGTGCCACTGGATGCAAACTTTGTTTCAGTGGCCTGAAAAGAAATACAGTGAAAAATGTCTTGTATTTAACTTCAGATATACATAATCATGCCAGTAAAAAACCCCTCAAATTCCAAAGTACTATTTCATCACTAGAGCCAGTGTGGTGTAGTGGTTAAAGTGACAGGCTAGGATCTGGGAAATTCAGGTTTGAATCCCCACTCATGCCATGGAAGCTTGTTGGGTGACCTTGGGCCAGTCACATTACTCTCAGCTTAGCCCTGACCTGGATAGCCCCAGGATTGCCTGATCTTGTCAGATCTCATAAGCTAAGCAGGGTTGACATGGAGGCATGCAATGGCAAACCACCTCTGAACGTCTCTTGCCTTTAAAATCCCACAGGGTCACCATAAGTCAACTGTGACTTAATGGCAAAAATACCCCCAAAACCCATCACACTACTGGTGTTCTGAGCGAGCACTTGGGAAGGCTTCTGGTCCTCATTTTGAAGCCCAAGAGCTGACCTTCCCAAACATCTAGAAGGAATTTTTGAGAGCTATGCGTCTGCCTTTGTGTTAACTTTTACTAACAAACATTAGCCAAAGCATCACAAAATAGTGATCACAGATAATGTATAACTTGAATGTATAACTTGAAATGTTGCTTGAACCATAATGTAACTATTTTTTACTTGTTCCAAATAGGGCTGCCAAACCGCGGCTGGGGATCCGTGCGTCGTTGCAGGATCGCTGCCGCGGGGGACAGCGATCCGTGTTGCACCGGCGTCGCCAGGATGTGACGCTACGCGTCGCCCTGGCAACGGGACTCCAAACAGCCCTAGTTCCAAACAAGGTTAATTTGAATTTCTCTGCAAATGTGGACTAAAACCTTGATTTAAAAGCAAGAACAAACAATGTGATTCTGTCTGTTGTAATAAATTCTGGTATGTGTGGAAAACTGGGAAATATGTGTCGGAAATATATGTAACCACAACCACCTGCAAGGACTGGCGGGAG